TAACTATAAAGTGATATTTCTAAAATAGCATGAAATGTGAGAGATGCATTGGTAAGTTGGAAAGGTCAGGTGCTGTTGACATACCTATAATCATAGCTACTCACGAGGATTATAGTTTGAGACCAGCCAGGAAAGAAAAGTTTGTTACACCAGATTCAGTAGATGAATGGATCAAGAAAATGTGATACATACACACACACACAATGGAATTCTATGCCTCCATCAGAAAGAATGACATTGCCCCATTTGTTAGGAAATGGAACAACTTGGAAAAAAATTATATTAAGTGAAGTAAGCCAGGCCCAAAGAAACATAGGTCCCATGGTCTCCCTTATTTGCAATAACTAGTATATGTCTGGGACAAGTAGAAAAGGTCAAAATCTATGTACATATGACTATATAAGATGATGTTAAGTGAAATAAACTCCAAGATAGGGACACAAGTGTTTTTTTTTTCTTTCTTGCTATTGTTCCTAATGTATTTATAATGTACCATGCTTGAATAGGGATACAGGTTGACCCATTGTAACAATTAGATGTACAAGACACTATGTTAAACAATGAACTTTACAATTTAGACCAGGTTGAGGGGGGAGTTTAGTCATGGAGGTAGGAGGGAAGGAAGGGTAGAGGAAAAATAAAGGAGGAGGTAACAATGCTTTATAGGAAATGTATTCATGACCTTGCTCATGTAACTGTAACCCCTCTGTACAGCATTTTTATGATACAAAACATATTTAAGAAAATTTTGAAGAGGATTGAGATAAAACACTTTCAAATATTTAAGCATTTTGTTTTTTTCCCTTCCCCTCCCCAAATTAGAAAAGTGTATATACAAGATGCAGGGCCCCAGAATCAAATACAATGAAAGCAGGGGTTATACCATGGGGGAGGAACATACAAAGAAACAAAGAAATCACATGAGTACATTAAAAACAATAGCAAGAAAGAAAAATCCGCTTATGTCTCTGTCTTGGGGTTCATTTCACTTATCCATTGTAACAATGAGATATGCAAGACACTATGTTGAAAATGAACTTTACAACTTGTGGGGGGGAGTGAGGAGGGAGGAGGAAGGAGGGAGGAGGAGGGAGGGAAGGGACGGTAGGGGAAAAACAAAGGAGGAGGTAGCCATGCGCAACAGGAAACGTGCTCATCACCTTGCTCATGCCACTGTAACCCCTCCATACGCTATTTTATAATAAAAAACATATTAAAAAAGAAGAAGAAAAGTTTGTGAGAATCTTCTCTCCAAGATAAATTACAAGCAGCAGGACTGAAGTTACAGCACCAAAGTGGCAGCCAGTCTCAAGGGCCAGCCTAGCACGTACAAGACCTGGAGTTCACACTCCAGTATCACAAAAAGCGGAGGGATTCAAGTAACATAGCAGTACATAATACTCTACTTCCGTAAATCAGTTACTTCCCGTGTGTATGAGCGCATGCCAGAGAGAACCCAGTGAACTCAGAACTCCTGGGTCACCTGAGGCCTTGCCCGAGGTCCTGAGGGGGCCACCCCCTTCTGGACCAGATGCCCGAGCCCCGCTGCCCACGGGTCTGACATCACATCAGATGCCCGAGCCCCTCTGCCCACGGCTCTGCCATCACATCAGATGCCCGAGCCCCTCTGCCCACGGCTCTGCCATCACATCAGATGCCCGAGCCCCACTGCCCACGGCCCTGACATCACATCAGATGCCCGAGCCCCTCTGCCCACGGCTCTGCCATCACATCAGATGCCCGAGCCCCGCTGCCCACGGGTCTGACATCACATCAGATGCCCGAGCCCCGCTGCCCACGGCCCTGACATCACATCAGATGCCCGAGCCCCGCTGTCCACGGCCCTGACATCACATCAGATGCCCGAGCCCCTCTGCCCACGGCTCTGTCATCACATCAGATGCCCGAGCCCCTCTGCCCACGGCTCTGCCATCACATCAGATGCCCGAGCCCCTCTGCCCACGGGTCTGACATCACATCAGATGCCCGAGCCCCTCTGCCCACGGCCCTGCCATCACATCAGATGCCCGAGCCCCTCTGCCCACGGCCCTGCCATCACATCAGATGCCCCGCTGCCCACGGCCCTGCCATCACATCAGATGCCCGAACCCCTCTGCCCACGGCTCTGCCATCACATCAGATGCCCGAGCCCCGCTGCCCACGGCCCTGACATCACATCAGATGCCCGAGCCCCTCTACCCACGGCCCTGCCATCACATCAGATGCCCGAGCCCCGCTGCCCACGGGTCTGACATCACATCAGATGCCCGAGCCCCTCTGCCCACGGCTCTGCCATCACATCAGATGCCCGAGCCCCGCTGCCCACGGCTCTGCCATCACATCAGATGCCCGAGCCCCACTGCCCACGGCCCTGCCATCACATCAGATGCCCGAGCCCCGCTGCCCACGGGTCTGCCATCATATCAGATGCCCAAGCCCCTCTGCCCACGGCCCTGACATCACATCAGATGCCCGAGCCCCTCTACCCACGGCCCTGACATCGCATCAGATGCCCGAGCCCCGCTGCCCACGGCCCTGCCATCACATCAGATGCCCGAGCCCCGCTGCCCACGGCCCTGACATCACATCTGGAGGCTTCCTGGAGGTAGAGGCACCAGGCACCCCAGGGGCACCCCAGGTACCCCGCAGCAAGCCTGTCCTCACTCTTGGGCTTTCTTCCTGCTCTGAGACTCCAGCAGAGCCGCACCGCAGCACCCCAGAGCTCTCTCCCATCTACCTCTGCGTCCTACCAGATGGCCATTCCCTTCTCCACCACAAATTCTGTGCAAGGAATGGCCAAGGCACAGGAAGTGCTTTGTCTGGTTTCTTCTGTGGCAAGAAAGAAGTCACTCTATAATAAAAGAACTTGGACCCAATGGCATGTCTTCGTTGAGGGCCAGCTGAGCCACGGAGGTTCACAGCTGCTCCAAGTGACAGTCCTGCTCCAGCTCCTCCCTCCTGTCTTCTCCCCCCCCCCCCCCGAGGTGTCCCTACACGCTCCAACCCCACACACAACAGAGGCACGGGCGCTCAGGAGGCATGAGGGGGAAACGTGTACAAAGCCCCATCTGCCTGCTGTGTGGGGACGTGTCTGAGTTTTCTCTAGGATGCACCAGCTAGCTGTTCTGCTTTACCCACCCGCCCTTGAGGACGAAACATGGTGCCTGGTGGTGGGCGCCGAGGAGGGGCTCTGGCAGCTGGTGCTGGGCCAGAGGCGGGGACTGCAAAGCACAGCCCCTTGGACCTCGCAGTGAGCCGGCATCTGCCTGCCCGGCCAGTCGCGAGCCTTCCTGCCTTCCTGCCCCACATCATTTCTGCAAGGAGCCTCATTCTGTGACTTTTGAGTGCAGCTGAGGCTGGCCTGCAGAGCTGCCCACGTTCGGGGGTACCCTGCCCAGTGCTTCGGCCCTCACCTGGTCTCCCCGGGCCCCTCACTCCGACGAGCCAGCCTTCCTGGACAGCACCTCCTAGCAGGGCAGTGTTGGCCTGCCCCAGCCCACAGGCGACTCAGGTGTCTGCGGGTGGGTGCGGGTGCAGGTGCGGGAGAGGCAAGGTAGGGCTGGGAGATGCCAGGAACCGACAGCAACCCGCAAGCGTGAGGAGCCGGCCTGCTGGGCTTGCTTGGCTTGGGAGGACATGGTGAGCGGCCCGGCTGGGTCAGCACACCCCGGCAGTGTTGGTGAGGCTGGCTGCAGATTCTGACCATATAGATCACAGACAGATGTCTGGAGTCACACACAGAAGGGCCCAACCTGCTGGCCAGAGCCATGCCCTCCTGCCTTGGAATCGGCGGGGCGTGTGGTGTGCCTCCTGCCTCCATCGGACTCTGCTCGCCAGGTCACGTCTGTCCCAGAGGGCCCCTCAGCACGTCCCCAAGACTCAAACTGACACCGAGACACACAGCAGCAAGACTCGAACTGACACCGAGACACGCAGCAGTAAGACTTGAAATAACACTGAGACACGGAGCAGCAAGACTCGAACTAACACGAGACACATGGGCCTGTTTACCACACCAGTGCAGACAGACCACAGCAGCAAGAAAAAAAAACAATAACTGTCTTGAAATTTAATTGTTGTTTGAAAATGCAGGGTAACTCTGTATTTCACTTTTATAACCACATTCAATTTTCCCCTGTCACCTCTTTATTAAAGACACTTTCCATGTTGGAGGGCTCATGTTCATCAGAATTTCACAGGAGAGGAGCAAATTCCTCCACGGTCTTCTTGTGTTTTTAATTTTTATTGTTATGGTAAAGGTGATGTGCAGAGGGGATTCGGTTACATAAGTCAGGTAATGAGTACATTTCTTCTTGAAACAATAAAAAAAAAAAAAGAATATAGTACATAAATACACAGGGGGAAACTATTCACCCTTTAAAAAGCAGGAAATCGTGTTATTTTTGACAACACAGAGGAACCTGGAGGATTCGGCCCGACCAGGAAGCGAATACTGCCTGGTCTCCCTCACGTGTAACCCACCCCTGGGGCAGAGTGTGGGGCGGGGTCGCCAGACGGGAAGGGCTGGGCCGTCTCGGCTGGACAGGGACACCGACAGGACGTCACTCAACAAGGTGACTATAGTTTTAAAATGTGATTTCCAAAACACCAGAATGGGTTTTACATGTTCTCACCATTTACAAATGGTGTTTGGGGGTTGGGTGTGCTGATTAGCTTACTTCAATCATTCTACAATGAACACATGTGTCAAAACGTCTCGTTTACCCCATAAATACATACAATTATTTGTCAACTGGAAATGAAACTTGCAAAAGCACCCAGTCCATACCAAATTGTTCGCAGGTCTTATTTCTCCAAAGCTGGTTAAAATGATTGCACATTCTCAATAATACTATGCAAGTGGTTCATGGAAAATCGTTCTCTGGTGTGGTTATTTAGCCAATGGATTTCCTCTTGTGAAGCTTCCAGGCAAATCACAGCCTCGTGGAAGGCTGTGCCCCAGCCCGTGGCCGGCTCCTCACCCCCGCCTCTCCTTCCAGCCTGCAGGGGCATCTGGGACAACATCACGTGCTGGCGCCCTGCAGATGTGGGGGAGACGGTCACCGTGCCCTGCCCCAAAGTGTTCAGCAACTTCTACAGCAAGCCAGGTACCGTGGGCGCACCCCGTGGAGCAGGCTTTCCTATTTGGGCAGCGAGGGGCTGGGTCTCCCTCTTTTCTAGCCTCTTCCTGCTTTGAGTGGAGCCATGAAATAGTTGGAACAGATTGAGGTAGGTGCTTACTTTAGGGAGCAAAAGAGCCCTGTCTCTTGGTGGGCAGGGAAGGTGTGAGGGAAGAGACTAAGCAAGGATCTTTCATGAACAGAGACAGATAAACAGGAGCCAGAGCACCAGCAATGTCATCTGGGGCAACAGAGACAAGGAAAAGATGAAGGCTCTGCTGGTCCCCGAGGTTCTGAGCGAAGGTGGGGAGTGTGGGCCACTGGACCCCCTCTGCTCTGCCCCCAGACCCAAGTCCCCTGTTGGCAGCTTCTCTGTCTCTGCAGAGAAGAGACAGGGCCAGGCCCCTTCCCTGCGCAGGGCTTGCTCTACGCAGCTCTGCAGGCCTGGCTCGTGGCTCACAATTCCTCACAGGGAGAAATCTCTCTGGAAAGGCAGAGGATAGAAGACATCCAGAAACAGGAAATAATGGTGCTTATGTGCAGAAATCATTTTACCAGGGCAGTGATGGAGAAAACCTTGAGAACTAATGACATTGCACTTTAAAACAACAGTGGAGGAAATGGAGATCGGGGAAGGAGTTGGTCTCTTCTCAGGAGCTGAACCTTGTTGAGCACAGGACATCTCAATTCAGAGACTCTGAACCTCAAAAACCGCTGTCCAGTCAGCGATACTGGCAGGAGCTCGGGCCAGGACTGTTCTCTGGACGTTCCAAGCACACTGGCACAGGCCCAGGAGCAGATGCCTGCACACACCCAGCTCAGGTGTGGCGTGGGTGAATGACCTCGGGAGGGGCAGTGGAGCAGAGCGGAGCCCTGGGTCCCCGATCGGCAGACTTGCTCTGGGCCTAGGCTTCGTGCACTGTGTCACCAGCCTAGGGCTTGCACACTGCCCAGTCAGGGAGGAGCCTGCTCTCGGGGAGGGCTGAGTTCTCAGGGCCCCTGAGCAGGGTGCACCACAGTTAGGACACACGGAGCTTTTGAGTCAGAAAACCTGTCTTCCTCGCCGTCGTTTTCCAATCGCTGGGGAGCCACGCTCCCGCCCGCGGTGTGGGGCCAGCGATGCGGGCTGTGACTGCATCACAGGCCCCGAGGGCCTGGGACCCCACTGCTCCTCAGGAGCGCAGGAGAGGCACGGGAGCCTGAGCCTTAGTTCTGCCATGGAGGGCAGCTTTGGGCAGAGTTTGGGCTTGAAGGGCTCGGGTAACTGCTGTCCCTATTTCACTCTGTACTCTCCAAACTCTGTCCCACGTGGTGTTGTCACGTTTCTGCCAGGAAATAGAGGGAATGCTACATTTCTAGACTGACTATACAAATTTTAGCTTATTGAAGAGCAAATAATACAGTTCAGAATAAAGAGCAGAAGAAGTTCTTAACGGCCTTTCTTTCTTGCAATTTAAACCTTCCTCCCACAATGACTTTCCTCTGGCTGTCAGCCGCGTCCTGCGGAGCTGCCTCCCGAGGGCAGGCGGAGGGGCGGTGAGCAAGCCCCAGCATCCAGGACAGAGCAGGCAGGACCTGGCATTAGTCACTCTGTGGTGACAGAGCGTCAGAATCTACTAAGGACTTGCATCTACTCTGAGATAAGAGTACGTAAAGTTGAAGCAACTACAAGTATAGTTTCTGTCTTCATTGCTTTCTGAATGGTGGTCTACTCCCTGCAAGTCCGTGATGTGGGTTGAAGGAGGGTGACTGGGAAGGGCTTCTGAGAGGCAGCATCTCCTGTGAGCAGTAGCATTCAGACGACAGTCTCCAGAGAGATGTAGCATTGTCTCTACTGAGACCCTGCAGATACAACATCTGAGCTTTACTTTCCAGGAAACATAAGCAAAAACTGCACGAGTGACGGGTGGTCAGACACGTTCCCAGATTTCATGGACGCATGCGGCTACAACGACCCAGACGATGACAGTAAGGTAGGTTCCCAGGTGCAGCCAGACCCCGCCCACAGCGGGGCCTTTGCTCGGGCCAGGCCTCGGCTCTGCTCTGCTACTCATGTTCGGGACTCACCGATTCTCAGTAACTTCAGAGAAATCACAGGGAAGCAAACGGTCTTTGCTGATGGTAGACACCTGTACACGGCCATGCTGCCTCCAGGCAGCCTCCCTGATGCCTTCTTGCCCGGTTCTCAGTGTGGGCTCCAGGGAAGCAGCAACCTTTCTTCTCCCTGAGATGGTGACAGACATGGCCAACACCAGGGCAGCTTTTCAGGCTCAAAAGCTGGGTTTGCTGTCTAGAGCACTTGGCTGTAGTGTCTCATCTCAGGCTGTGTGGTTTAGTGGTGCTGGTGTCTGGTCTGGTGTGTCAGGCTGTGTGTGCAGTGGTGCTGGTGTCTGGTCTGGTGTGTCAGGCTGTGTGTGCAGTGGTGCTGGTGTCTGGTCTGGTGTGTCAGGCTGTGTGGTGCAGTGGTGCTGGTGTCTGGTGTGTCAGGCTGTGTGGTGCAGTGGTGCTGGTGTCTGGTCTGGTGTGTCACTCTGTGTGGTGCAGTGGTGCTGGTGTCTGGTCTGGTGTGTCAGGCTGTGTGGTTTAGTGGTGCTGGTGTCTGGTCTGGTGTGTCAGGCTGTGTGGTTTAGTGGTGCTGGTGTCTGGTCTGGTGTGTCAGGCTGTGTGTGCAGTGGTGCTGGTGTCTGGTCTGGTGTGTCAGGCTGTGTGGTGCAGTGGTGCTGGTGTCTGGTGTGTCAGGCTGTGTGGTGCAGTGGTGCTGGTGTCTGGTCTGGTGTGTCAGGCTGTGTGGTGCACTGGTGCTGGTGTCTGGTGTGTCAGGCTGTGTGGTGCAGTGGTGCTGGTGTCTGGTCTGGTGTGTCAGGCTGTGTGTGCAGTGGTGCTGGTGTCTGGTCTGGTGTGTCAGGCTGTGTGGTGCAGTGGTGCTGGTGTCTGGTCTGGTGTGTCAGGCTGTGTGTGCAATGGTGCTGGTGTCTGGTCTGGTGTGTCAGGCTGTGTGATGCACTGGTGCTTGTGTCTGGTGTGTCAGGCTGTGTGGTGCAGTGGTGCTGGTGTCTGGTGGCTCAGGCTGTGTGGTATAGTGATGCTGGTGTCTGGTCTGGTGTGTCAGGCTGTGTGGTTTAGTGGTGCTGGTGTCTGGTCTGGTGTGTCAGGCTGTGTGATGCACTGGTGCTGGTGTCTGGTGTGTCAGGCTGTGTGTGCAGTGGTGCTGGTGTCTGGTCTGGTGTGTCAGGCTGTGTGGTGCAGTGGTGCTTGTGTCTGGTGTGTCAGGCTGTGTGTGCAGTGGTGCTGGTGTCTGGTCTGGTGTGTCAGGCTGTGTGATGCACTGGTGCTGGTGTCTGGTCTGGTGTGTCAGGCTGTGTGGTGCAGTGGTGCTGGTGTCTGGTCTGGTGTGTCAGGCTGTGTGTGCAGTGGTGCTGGTGTCTGGTCTGGTGTGTCAGGCTGTGTGGTATAGTGATGCTGGTGTCTGGTCTGGTGTGTCAGGCTGTGTGGTTTAGTGGTGCTGGTGTCTGGTCTGGTGTGTCAGGCTGTGTGATGCACTGGTGCTGGTGTCTGGTGTGTCAGGCTGTGTGTGCAGTGGTGCTGGTGTCTGGTCTGGTGTGTCAGGCTGTGTGGTGCAGTGGTGCTGGTGTCTGGTGTGTCAGGCTGTGTGTGCAGTGGTGCTGGTGTCTGGTCTGGTGTGTCAGGCTGTGTGATGCACTGGTGCTGGTGTCTGGTCTGGTGTGTCAGGCTGTGTGGTGCAGTGGTGCTGGTGTCTGGTGTGTCAGGCTGTGTGTGCAGTGGTGCTGGTGTCTGGTCTGGTGTGTCAGGCTGTGTGTGCAGTGGTGCTGGTGTCTGGTCTGGTGTGTCAGGCTGTGGTGCAGTGGTGCTGGTGTCTGGTCTGGTGTGTCAGGCTGTGTGTGCAGTGGTGCTGGTGTCTGGTCTGGTGTGTCAGGCTGTGTGGTGCACTGGTGCTGGTGTCTGGTCTGGTGTGTCAGGCTGTGTGATGCACTGGTGCTGGTATCTGGTCTGGTGTGTCAGGCTGTGTGGTGCAGTGGTGCTGGTGTCTGGTCTGGTGTGTCAGGCTGTGTGTGCAGTGGTGCTGGTGTCTGGTCTGGTGTGTCAGGCTGTGTGGTGCAGTGGTGCTGGTGTCTGGTCTGGTGTGTCAGGCTGTGTGTGCAGTGGTGCTGGTGTCTGGTGTGTCAGGCTGTGTGTGCAATGGTGCTGGTGTCTGGTCTGGTGTGTCAGGCTGTGTGTGCAGTGGTGCTGGTGTCTGGTCTGGTGTGTCAGGCTGTGTGGTGCAGTGGTGCTGGTGTCTGGTCTGGTGTGTCAGGCTGTGTGGTGCAGTGGTGCTGGTGTCTGGTCTGGTGTGTCAGGCTGTGTGGTGCAGTGGTGCTGGTGTCTGGTCTGGTGTGTCAGGCTGTGTGGTGCACTGGTGCTGGTGTCTGGTCTGGTGTGTCAGGCTGTGTGGTGCAGTGGTGCTGGTGTCTGGTGTGTCAGGCTGTGTGGTGCAGTGGTGCTGGTGTCTGGTCTGGTGTGTCAGGCTGTGTGGTGCAGTGGTGCTGGTGTCTGGTCTGGTGTGTCAGGCTGTGTGGTGCAGTGGTGCTGGTGTCTGGTCTGGTGTGTCAGGCTGTGTGTGCAGTGGTGCTGGTGTCTGGTCTGGTTTGTCAGGCTGTGTGGTGCAGTGGTGCTGGTGTCTGGTGTGTCAGGCTGTGTGTGCAGTGGTGCTGGTGTCTGGTCTGGTGTGTCAGGCTGTGTGGTGCAGTGGTGCTGGTGTCTGGTCTGGTGTGTCAGGCTGTGTGTGCAGTGGTGCTGGTGTCTGGTCTGGTGTGTCAGGCTGTGTGGTATAGTGGTGCTGGTGTCTGGTCTGGTGTGTCAGGCTGTGTGATGCACTGGTGCTGGTGTCTGGTCTGGTGGCTCAGGCTGTGTGGTGCAGTGGTGCTGGTGTCTGGTGTGTCAGGCTGTGTGGTGCAGTGGTGCTGGTGTCTGGTCTGGTGTGTCAGGCTGTGTGGTGCAGTGGTGCTGGTGTCTGGTCTGGTGTGTCAGGCTGTGTGGTGCAGTGGTGCTGGTGTCTGGTCTGGTGTGTCAGGCTGTGTGTGCAGTGGTGCTGGTGTCTGGTCTGGTGTGTCACTCTGTGTGGTATAGTGGTGCTGGTGTCTGGTCTGGTGTGTCAGGCTGTGTGATGCACTGGTGCTGGTGTCTGATCTGGTGGCTCAGGCTGTGTGGTGCAGTGGTGCTGGTGTCTGGTGTGTCAGGCTGTGTGGTGCAGTGGTGCTGGTGTCTGGTCTGGTGTGTCAGGCTGTGTGATGCACTGGTGCTGGTGTCTGGTGTGTCAGGCTGTGGTGCAGTGGTGCTGGTGTCTGGTGTGTCAGGCTGTGGTGCAGTGGTGCTGGTGTCTGGTCTGGTGTGTCAGGCTGTGTGGTGCAGTGGTGCTGGTGTCTGGTCTGGTGGCTCATGCTGTGTGGTGCAGTGGTGCTGGTGTCTGGTCTGGTGTGTCAGGCTGTGTGTGCAGTGGTGCTGGTGTCTGGTCTGGTGTGTCAGGCTGTGTGTGCAGTGGTGCTGGTGTCTGGTGTGTCAGGCTGTGTGGTTTAGTGGTGCTGGTGTCTGGTCTGGTGTGTCAGGCTGTGTGATGCACTGGTGCTGGTGTCTGGTCTGGTGGCTCAGGCTGTGTGGTACAGTGATGCTGGTGCCTGGTCTGGTGTCTCAGAAGGGTTGTTTCTGCAGAAAGAGGGGTTCCTAGGCTCTGATCTGAGGACCTGAGTTCTGACCCCCGCAGGCTGCCGGCCAGGAACGATGTGTCTTCAGGGGCAGCCCTCTTGGGCTGGCTCTCTGCAGCGTGGGCTGCAGTCAGGCTAGGCCAGACCAGACCGTCAGGAGTTTTGAAGCCGGTGGGGAGCACCTGCCACCTGGGCTTCATTTCATGTTGGCACCAGATGTAAACCGGCATACATTTGGTGCTGAGCAGTGACCAAGGCCCAACCAACACAGGTGTGTGGCTCTCTGGGGACACCCAAGTCTGGTGCTCACGGTGTGTTCACTCCCTCCTGAATCTTCTCCTGAAGGCATGGAGACGCTGGGTCCCTCCAGTCATAAAGAATGATGGGGGTGCAGGAATGTTCCCATCAGCGCAGCATCAGCTCTCTGCCCAGGGGCACCTCATTTCCTCAGTTTCCCTTAGGTCTGAAACTGGGCCTGAAACTGCCTCCTGCTGCAGGACTGCTAACTAGCCTTCCTGTCTAACTTGGAAAACCTGTGTCTTCTGAAACACTTCGGAGGGCATAATGTACACTCCCTGATAATGGATTAGGAAGTAAGATACTTTAATGTGAGAAAGCAGCAGAAATGATGGCCCAAAACCAAAAGGATTTTCCTTCCTGATTGTACTTTCTGCTTTTTGAATACTTTGATCCTGGGTTATTTTAAGGACGCATTGCAAGAGGAAAAGGCAGAATCTGTGGTATGTTCCCAGAGGCTCTGAGAGAGATGGGCTCAGGGTGGGCACTCGGTGGATGCGTGCTGCTCAGGCTGGGCCCCGGGGCGAGCCCAGGAAAGCAGCCAGGAGATGCCCCCTTGTCACCAGCCCCTAGCAGTCCACCATCACTCATCAGCTCACCCTTCCCAGACTTACAGGTATTGATTTCCCACTCACACAGATCAAATTCTGCCATGGGTGTTACACATACAATCATTATTGACTGCAAAACTAGTTCAATTCAAGGAAAACCATAGGCTCCACAAAGCCATAGCTGGCTGCAGATGGCGGAATCAAAAGGCGACAGGTAGGACTTTGAGTGCAGGTCCTTGTTCAGGCTGCTGCCCAGTTCTGCACAGCTCCTCCCAAGCCCAAATGTCCTGACTGGGGCCTGAGAATATCTCCAATCTACGCTCAAGGACCAGCAGCGGCCCAGTGACTGGAAGACACAAAGGCGCACAGAACTCACCCCTGCCTCTGCTCCTGTTAGAGGTGCGGGCGGCTCTGGCCTTGCTGGGACCC